CAATGCAGGCTCCTTTGGTGGAAACGGCACTTCTCTGGATCATAAACGACTATGAAGCAGTGTTGGAGTCGGGTCCATCAAAAGTCCTTTCACAAGTCCCTTCACAAGTCCAGTCACAAGTCCCTTCACAAGGCCAGTCACAAGTCCCTTCACAAGGCCAGTCACAAGTCCCTTCACAAGGNCAGTCATAAGTCCCTTCACAAGGCCAGTCATAAGCTAGAGGGTGAACAGTGACAAAGGAGTGCTTTTGTCACAGCTCATCTGAATAGCTTGTGAATTGGCTTCAGACAGAATGACTTGTGATGGACTTACAAGGACTTGCTGGGACCTGTGATGGACTCGAATACAACACTGCTATGAAAAACCATACATGCGCTACTTTCGCATTGCTACCAACAAAAACAATTCTCCCCACCATCATGGCTCTTTTCAACTGATGAGGGGGTTCAAGGCGAATAGGCACAGACAAGTTGCTGTGTATCGGGTGTCTGTCCAATCTTGAGTCGTTGCTGGGCAAAATAAAGCATTTCCTCGTGGTCACGCACAGGGTCCATACCTTCAGGGACCCGTGTTCGATTCCTGCTGGGGCAGCGTTGAGGTTTCTTTCCCTGTCTCTACTCAAGACAAATTCTTTTTGTCCTTTCACTCCCATAAATAAAAAATTTTCCCTCTCACCTCCAATTCAACACTTGGCCCGAGAGTACAGCACCAAAGGGTTTGATGAGGCTTTGCTCAGGATAATTAAGAAGAAACAAAAACACAACGAGACTGTAAAAACTTCACTTTGATATTATACTTGGGAGGTAGGAAAGGCCAGAGCAGATAAATTAGGGGGAAAAAATTCTGGAAAATACATCTCAGTAACAGTAGCCACCACTGTATATGCAAGATACTGTTACCAAAGCGGTCTGTATTCATGTAAACTATTGACTGCATTGTGGATTCAAGGACATCTGGGGTCAGACTTTTGGCGCAGCTTCAAACGACATCTATTGGATTAGCTAGGATTGCAAGTGTTTATTTTTTTTCCATTAGATTTCCAGACCACACTCTGAATAGTTATTTCTGTCTCATCTATGGATGTATGCCTGTCTAATCAATCAAGTCCATAGACTGTTGAATGCGCGTATGCAAAGGTTCAGTGTTGGGACAGGAAGGGAAGAGTTGCTTTATCCTTTGCTACTTGGCAACAAGATGAATACATTCAGTGTTATCATCTCACATCTGAGAGGCAACATTGCTGGTTTTCATGAGGTGCAACTCTCAACTTGATTTCAAAAGGAAAGGGACCAAATCAGTTTTGGGGGGGGCAGGGATAACTTTTCACGATACAATTTCAGAATTTTTTTGGGGGGCGGGGGATATATTTTGAGACCACATGTTTATAAAGCACAGTGTTTCCAACCAATGAGAAGTCAGAGTCTGTGTGCTGAGCATTGTGTCACATTGAGACTTACTTGGTATCTGGTTGTTTACCTCCAGAAAACCTTCACCAGGTATAACTTTGTGGAGTTTCATGATGAGATTGGTCATGATTCAGGTTTGATCCAAGATAAGATTATTGTGATGCTGAAAACGTGATAAAAAGGAGAATGTATTGTCAAAGATTCCAGTCAGTGACGCATAGTTCAGGGAGTTTGTATGGGTTTCTGTTTTGGTGAAATATTGCTGGAATCTGGCTGTGTCTGTCGTCCATGACATGTTTTAGGAGTTACATATTCAGTGTGGTTGACGCTAATATCACTCTTAAGTAATTTATAAGAACACACCAAACGATAATGATATTATCCTCCAGGTGCTTATGGATCCCAGTTTAGGCTTAATTTCCTAGCTGAAACTCTAGATATTGTGGAAATTTGTGACAAAAAAGCTACTTGGTACTCCATTTTGTCTAGTCATAAATAGTTGAATTGTGCAGAATGCATAAATGCACTTGTTTACTGAGTTCCCCGGTGTTGTTTGCTATGCAATCTCTGAGTTGAATGTAATGTGGACAACTATATGTACGGCCTGGTAAGATGCTCAATAGTGCATGACGATTCTGCACATATGAACTCTCCAAGGCCAGTCAAAGCCATGGCTCTGTGTATAATTTGACCATTTCAAATGTCAGCTTATATCTCCACTTTCATTAAGCATCCTCGTGGCGTTGCTTTACCGGACACGTACAGAGTCTTCTCCTGCTAAATCACAGATGATATTGTATGTTCTGGTATTTGCCAAAATAGGCATGTGTGTGTGGGGGGGGGGTCTTGTCTTCGCTAAATGTAACAGAAATCTCACGAAACAAGAATTCTCTCCAAGGTTCTGTAAGTTTTCAATTCCTTACAAACCTTCCACAATAACTCATTTCTCACAAGGGCGTGGCTGATTCTCAGGATTTTCTCTCCAGAGCAGTAGGCTGTATTGCTGAGATTCAAACTACCTCTCCCCACTGATGCAGTGAAGCACAATTCATCCAATATTATTCTGAAATCAGCCACCAGGCTGTTTGCAAGCATTTTGATGGATTTCCAATTTGTGCAGCAAGGCAAGCCACTGTTACTTTGCTTGCTTGATATGTTGTTGCGTTACACTGCTTCCCTTCACATTCATCAAGGATAAAGTCGGGAAATCTTGCTTATGAACATAGAGTTGCAACAACTTCAGATTAGAAACCTGAAAACATCCATTGTCCAACTTGCATCTTTTTTTGGGGGGGGGTTTATTCATGACCTATGTTGAAGCCCTGTAATTTACGGCCATATTCCTATTGACTAGTCATCTGCACCACTGCAATTGACACTCTGGAAACAAATGCTACCATAAACCATCGTGACCTCTATCTTGTCACAACTTTGGTCAGGTTCTGGTTATGGACCAAATCTCCCACAGTTCATCGCATGTTTTGTAGAAGTTGGAGAGATTTTTATAACACATAGTGTCACTGTAGCAGGGCATGGGGGCCATGCAGGTCTTGATTGTAATATTTGAAAGAATGTAGGCCAATTACTTAAATGTAACAAAGGAAGGTATGTAATACGGAACTGCTGCAAACTGCTTGCTGACTACAGTGTCCTAAAATACAACTCTCAAAATATGGAGGGCCTGACGTTTCGATCCTAGCAGAATCTTTCTCAAAGGCAGGAAGGTTTGAAGGATTACTGTTTCTACAGCGTTTGGAAGAATTCAGTTTCTTCAAAACAGGCTACAGTTGTATTTACCCAATCTGTAGATGCATCTTTGACCTGAGACCCGGTGCACGTTTTATATGTGCGCATTTGTAATTAACTGATATTTTCATGTTAAACCATGAAAGATATCCTGGGAAAAACGACACTATATCAATATGCAGACTTCACAAGGCTTATTGGTGCTTGAAGGTATGAATGTTGATAGCTGTGGTGTGACACTTTTTTGTTGTCTAATACCTGTGTGACGTATGACTCCTGGGGCAGAGCAGGGGATGCAATCCGTCCTCAAGGGAATGAACAATGAATATCCCACCTCACTGCAGTCACTAGTTAATCTATTGTCAGGAAAGTCTGAAAAGGCAAAGGTTTGTTAGCTACTCTACAAGGGTTGTGGTGTACTCATTTCATTGTAACCATCGACGACAGCGACTGTGTGAGACGTGCTAATCACCACTTTGGCTGATGTCTGGTGCTCTGTCAAAGGAACTAAGCTTAGGTGCATGCTCAGTTGTTAAAAAAACTATACCTTAGAGGACCGGGCAATGATGTCATTCGACTGATACTGTGATACAGCCGTATTCATACAAAGGGACCATCTATGAAAAAGGAGGATCAATTTCACCAAAAGGCCTCCCTCATACTTCTTTCTGTGTTTCTGTCATTCTAAATGCCTGTGCATGTACGGGCATGCAGGTGACACACAATTTATACAGGATCATTTGCATGTGAGGAGATGTGCAGTAATTGTTATAAATCCAGGTTTGCTGCCATTGTGTAAGAGTTGAGCACGGTAATAGACCCAGCTGTAGACAAGAAATCCGCTTTAGACGTGGACTCACGCCCTGCTCTTGTAAAACGTGTGACATTACCACTTCTGTGATGGAAACCCATCAAATTGTGTGTGTTTCTTTTAGCAGAAACAAACTTACAGACTGGAATGAAACCATTTCATGGTCAGGACAGGACTTACGTTGAGGGTTTTAAGTATATGTACTGCTTTAGTTTTTATACATCTATCTTGGGTGTGAGAGAATGAGGATAACCACAAAGGCTTGAGTCACAGTATGTGAGAGAGTCGTAGTATGTGAGAGTTGTATGTGAGAGAGTCATAGTATGTGAGAGTTGTATGTGAGAGTCATAGTATGTGAGAGTTGTATGTGAGAGAGTCGTAGCATGTGAGAGTTGTATGTGAGAGTCGTAGTATGTGAGAGTTGTATGTGAGAGAGTCGTAGCATGTTGGAGAGTCGCAGTGTGTGAGAGTTGTACATGCATGTGACAGTCGCAGTATATATGAGAGAATAAACCAAACATGGGCCTGCTTCAGACAATTGATTTAAACAGCGAGCTAAACTTGCCTCTGCACTTTGTAGCGGCAAGTCCTGGGTTCACACTCAACCTGAGACTTTTTCCCCCTTTTGGCACCTGATAAAAATTTGGCATACAGCGTGTATTAAGTGGTTCTGCTTCAGTAAGGGCATGTCCTTGTTTGTAACACATCTAGAGAACCTCCAAACAACCTCAATCTGTGATGCTATTTCGCAAGTGTAGTTGAGAGTGACGCAAGACCATACGCAAGACCAGACACGAAAGCAGTCACAAGACCCGACACGAAAGCAGTCACAAGACCAAGCACGAGTAATAGGGTGAACAGTGACAGACGAGTGCTTATATTGTACTGATAGTTGATTTTTAAGAGCTTGTAACTTGATTTCAGACTGGAAGTCTTGCTTTGGCAATGTGATGGTCTTGTGGGATTTTGTTTGGACGTAAAGGTCTCGACTATACAACACTGTTCTATATGTAATGAGCCTTTTTTTTGCCTCCTAGGTCAACAACATCTCAGAAGCCATGAAAACTTTGCAGGAAAAGAAGGTCAAAGTGCTAGACCCTGAGCCCAAGATTGGTGCCCACAGCAAGCCAGTGGTGTTCCTTCATCCGAAGGACTGCGGTGGCGTTCTGGTGGAGCTTGAGGAGGCATGATGCATGCTGTAACGTTAACCATCCACGTGGAAAACTGTACATTAATGCCATTTGGTCATGCAGTAGCATGCATATGGCATCATCAGGGCATGACTGGGCTTGCCTGTTGTGGGCCAAGATGGTTATGGAGCCTCCGTGTCACGTTTGAGAAATTTATTTGTACATGATTGGCAGTCCCCTCTTGAAGAGCATGCACAACTAAACACAAGAGGTATTTTGCGTTGCGAGAGCTTGCAAAAAAATTCACAAGCTCACTCGGGTGGGACTCAAACCCACCCACCCAGTAAGCAGGAGGTCATGGGTTCGAGTCCCACCCGAGTGAGCTTGTGAATTTTTTCGCAAGCTCTCAGACAAGCACTGAGCATACCATGTTTATCAATATATACGTTGGGTAAGGGCAAAACCTGTTATATAAATAAACACAAGAGTCTCTAAACAGAAATATTATTCCCAAGAAAGTCCACTTGCACTACTCATGTTTGAGCACATGCACTATCTGCTCTCTCATTTGTGCCAAGTAGTAATTAGATTTGTACTTAAGTTGTGCACCAAAGTGCACTCAACTCCAACCCAAGATGTGAAAATAGCAGCACACCCTTTACAGAGAGAACTTTCAGTTCATGATGTTCATCAGTTATGATGCTTGCATGATAGGAGCACTGTTGATGTATCAATTGAGGCACTCTGGCAACGGATTAGAGACACCGTTTACAAGGAAATGAACCCCAAATGAAAATCTAGCCCATTGCAGGAGTAGTTTATATTATGCTGAAAGAATTGATCTCATCTTTTCCCGATGAGGTCATTTGACAACTCTGTACCACCTGATGCATGTCTGCACATACAGATGTCCTGCCAGGCACACTAACAGTACATTTTTAATTATTAGCATAAAATCAGGTAGGCCTATCTTTACAAAAGTAACAAGACACTTTTAGAACCTTAAGTCACAGCCTCAAAATGGAAGTCGAGTTATATGCAGTGTTTGAAAGTGCTTGCGATGGAAGTTGTTGAAATCAGTATGTATGAATGGTTGGGAGCTGGTTTAGAGAGGGAGGTTGGCAGTTAGTGCTGTAGGATCTTTGGTGTCGGCTGCCACTTTCAAATAAAGTTCTCTCCAAGGAGAGTGAGTCCGACTTCAGTGTTGGATCCATTGACTGCTGCATCAATTCTTAATTTGACCAACTAAGAATTGCCAGTTGTATGAATTGATATTCTTAATCGATTCTATTTAGTCATTCAGCGTTCATTGCGAAGTCACAGCGTGTGTGTGGAACTTTCTGCAGTTCCGTTTGCATACAAATGAAAGATTCTTTATTTATGTCTTTATGACAGAGGCCTCCAAATATAAATAGCATTACATGACATGTTGAAAAACAGTTAGCAAACGTCCACGCTTACAGTTCACATTAGCCCTGTTTTATTTCCCAATGTCTTTAATACTGAAATTAATATTGCAACATCGTATCGAATTTTGAAGTTAGTGTCAAAGAGAGAGACAAAGCAAAGCTGCGACTTGATGGTAAAACAGAAATGTTTCTGTTACACAACCAATGCAGGTGACCGGTGAGGGCGTTTTAAGCGGTAGGGGGCCCGGGACTAATGCTAAATTTCTCTGCGTCTGCAATACGCAGGCTGGTCATTTTGTATATTGTGTACATTGTGTGGTTTTCTGTGAAAGGTGGCATACATTTTTATTCCGAGTGTGCTTTTTTTATTTAGCAAGAAATTTACTGAAACGTTCAAGATGTTTTGCAATCTTTTTGGTTGCTAAGCTTGTATAATTATAGAGATCTCAATCGCGAACTGTTTCATAATTATGAGTGGAATGTAGGCAAAGTCTCGAATTCAATTAACAAATAGACTAATAAAAATTATTGATGACGTTTGTGCAATAAGAAGTTTTATACGGAGAAAACCTGTAAGCAAACATATGTTCAGAAAACCAGCTACAGAATATCATGAAAAGCTACGTGGCAGTCCAATGGGTTTAACTAAGCAAAAATTGCCCCCTTTAGGGAACTCGACGGTGACATGCGTCGTGCTCTTAGAGACGAGTCTTTCCGTTGCGCCGAATCCAGTGGGGGAGAGGCGGTCCAGGCATCGGAATGGGAGATTTCGCGAATCACTATGACTTGCCAACTTTCTGCCGTTGCGTGAAGTTTCCTCCAAATTTCCTGGTGGATAGCGGGCAATTTCCCACTAAATTGATCGCCAAAGAGGAGATTTCCCACTTGCAAGGAACCGTGGAGTGAGTCTAGCAGACACGAGACGCCTCCAACATCGCTGCACCTCACTGACGACAGAAGTTCTCCTACAAACCACTAAAAATAAGACCCATTTTATCCCCGAAGGCACTTTGGAATTCTCCCTGGGGTTGTGTGACTATCTATTTTCATGTCATGTGTCACAGAGTCCGACCATAATCGGACCAAACAGCAACATCTAAACGGTGACTCATGAACAAGCACTGACAGTTGGACACACAAATAGGCCGTTTCGGATAGCCTTCTGTGGATACATTTCTCCCCCCTTGTTTTTTCTCAATGGCGTACTGTTTCAAATGTGCACTAGACACCAGCTCCTCAAAACACCCAATCACGGTCGAAGGTCTCCGTCGGTAGCTGCGCTCCCATTTTGATGCCACTGACAGCGTGCCCCCTCATGCGTGACCAACGCGACGCGTTTCGGGGCTATTGTTAATTTCTATTTTTCTCCTGCCGTATAAGAAAGGACGAAGCTTTTGCGCCAAAATCAGCGAAGTTGAACGCCGCCTGACGCCGTGCTGGCTGGCCCAGGAGCGTTCATCTCTCGGTTCGGTCACATATTCACCAAGTGTGCTGGTAGGCTGATATCGCGCTTATCCTCACAACTGATTCGGTTTCCTCTGCGCGTTGTTTCCCGCCAACGTCCTGGTGACAATAAAAATAGTTGTCTTTGAATACAATGACTAGACAGTATTCCGGTCACAGATGGCTCAATATACCAGGCAGTAAAAGACGTAAGGCGCCTATTACTGCTACCTTAGCACTTGGTTTGGTTCACAGAAACTACACGAGGTAACAGCTACTTATTGCAGGGTTGAAATCAGCCGTAGGAAATTTGCTGGAGAATATTTTACAGTGCAAAGGGCTGTGGACGGTTTGAAATCTGTCGGCAAAATGGGTTTCATTACACATAAACATGGAAATAATACAAACTACTATTTCAAAACAAAACGAACCGTTCAAGTTGTATCGTGCCTCATGTTGGCCCCATTAAGAAAAATGCAACAAAACTTTACAAGAATTTGTCCCGTTTCAATCACCTAATTTGCACCAAGTACAAACATTGAGCCCCCAAATTTAGGCTCACTTATACTTTGCTCTAGACTTTCCTGAAGAGGTGTTGCTAAACGTTTTGTTCATGAGCCTCGATTCCATTGATTAGGAGATTTGTTTCATTGCTTAAAAGCAATGGTAATAGAAGGCATCCGAAAAATGTCAGTGTCTTAAACTCAATTCTAAAATTCACAGGCAGTGCCAGGAAACGGAAGAAAAATCAGAAAAAGGGAACGATGACGTGAATGGGATGGATTTTAAAAGAAAATAATCTTCACGTTCATGCGAACATGATTTTGATAAATCACGATTGTCTTTCTATCTTTAAATTTACATGGCCAAATTCGAGTTTGTCAGAAATTTATTTGCTTACTCATACATGTGTTTTGAAGCGGTCACTAAATTTGGTATAATGAACAGATGTCTTTAAAAAGCTAGGAATTTCATTTTCTATTCAGATTTGGTTGTTTGAAGTTAACTCTCAGAAAACCGCTCCATAAAAACCCTACTCTGGAGGAAGAACCACTTTTGGTCTCCAATAATGGATCCCAATCCTTATCCGAAGAATGCTTTTCTTTGTTTTTCTTTAATTCCTTAATTGGCCATTTTTAATAAAAGTTCTTAACATTGAAGCTTAATCGGCCAATGCCGGGTAGGCTTTAATCAAATCTGCGTACGGTACAACGGCCCGTGTGCAAATCACGAGAGACCATGGAGATTTCCCGCAGCAGGGGACCGACTCCAGCGCGGTCCAGCATTACCGTGCGCACCCGGCGGCCGCCTGCCGTCCGTACGCGGTCGAGGTACAGCACGTAGCGTGAGGCCCGTACGGGGATCCGATGCATGCAGCGCCTCAACAACAAACGTGTGACTTTGCCTATGTCGAATCTGTCATTTACCCTCATTAGCACTGCGTCTCATGAAATCTGTCTGTTTCAATATTTTCCACGGTGTTGATTTCAATTCAGCAAACAAGTATTTGTTTTCTATCAAAAGACAGAAAAGTAACCTTTCGGGGAAAGCTGATTGCTAATAGATCAATGCATTGTGCACATGTAGGGCCTACATTTTAAATAAAAATACGTTTTGAACATGCGTAAAAAGAAACTCCAATTTTGTTTGATTGAGAAAAAATTCATTTCCACTAGCACATCCAAGTTTATACAGTTGTTATAGAAATTTCTATTCACGTGAAATAACCAATACGCTTGTGCTAATTTTTCACACAACATGATCTTTACTCTTTACTACATGAATCAGTGTTTCAGAAAAAAATATTACCGGTACTCATTATCTGAGCCAGTGTTTGACGCATGTATCATCGACATGATTCCAACATGTCTTTCTGGACTGATTGAAAACGTGAATAAAATGTTCTCCAACCAATTTGGCAAAGTGTTCATTCACTTCTGAGAAGTGCATGGTCGTTCATTTTCGTCGGAAATATAAACGTCTTCCATTCCGCTTCATTTCAACGAAACCAAGGCTTTTTCACTGGATGCGTATAACACTTGAACATCCAGTTAGCCCATGAAAGTAAGTAGCAGAGGGGGGAACTAGGTCGCCCTGTTTACTTTATTTCTATCCATTTATTACTATTATTACATGTAATTTAGGGATAACTACCTTCCCTTTTGCTCGTTTTTCTTTGGTTGTCATCGTGGCTATTTCATAAGTTCTAAAGAAAAATATCGCCCACTCGTATGTTTTGAGTTCCCCTTTATTTTGGGCACCCTCCCTTCGCAAAATGGCAGAACCCCCCCTCCTTTTTAAAGGGGGAGGTGATTGGATCCGCCACTTTGCTCATGCGTAAACAAAACAAGCAGTAGGGCATCAGGAAAACACAAATATGACGTGCCGCGCAAAATAAAGCGAGAATGAAGTACGGGTGTGGTACTCTTCGATATTCGAGTCGCATCCACCGGGATGTGATAGCTGCACGAGGTCATCACAGACAAACCTCTCAAATATTAAT